ATCACTCCGCATCGTGAACCAGCCATTCAGGAGGGTGAGGCAGTAGCCTAGTGGTATTATCAATGGACTGTTAATCCAGATGATGTTCTGGGGACCTGGGTTTGAATCCTACATGGCAGATGTTGGAATCTGAATTCGATTTAAAAAATCTGGATTTGTCATCTAATAATGATTGTGAATCCACGGTCAATTGTCAGAAACAGAAACACCCACCTAGTTCACTAATGCCCTTTAGGGAAGGAAACTGCCATCCTTACCTCGTCTGGCCTACATTTGACTCCAGACCCAGACCCACAGCAATGTGGTTGACTCTCAACTACCCTCTAGGCAATTAGAGATGGGCAGTAAATGCTGGCCTAACCAGCAAAGCTCTCATCTTACGAACGAATTTTTTAAAAATCCAGCTAACTGAACATCCCTTACTCACCAATGTTAGCGAGGACATTGTTAAACATCATCCTGGATGGATGCGATTTAAAAATTCAGTCAAAACGGGTTTTGAATCATGAGAGCCCCTCCACAGTCAGCCTCCAGCCACAGGTCCCTTAAAGACAATCCCTTTATGCACTTGTGGGGAGAGACAGAATGTCATGCATTCCCAAGATGTGTCCCCTTGATAGAGTCAGTGGGAAATTAAACATTTAAATTGGCAAGTGAACAGGCTAGTGCTTGGCTTCGCTAAAGTAAATGATTAAAGACTTGCCAAGTTGGCTGTGGAAGAAAATCAAAACTGGAACAGAGAGGAAAACGAAATTGTCAAATGATAATAAATGAGAATTTACACAAGATTAGACAATTAGCCATTAGTTATTCTCCTTCTGTAGCACCCCCACACTCCTCAGGCAGCTTAACATAGACTCAGTTGTATACCAGATAAATACTACAGGGTGAGCCGGGAAGAACAAATGGGGAGAGGAAATCCAGGAAAGAAAGAACAGTACCCAAAGACCAGGGCAAAATATGACACCGGCAGCAAACAAATCTATAAAGTTAACATTTACAGTTGAATAGAAGTCAGAATGTATTAAAATTACTAAACTACTTGCCTGCAATGTTTTCTGGTAATACCGTATCCTGATTCTCACGGCATGATAACTGTTGCGATAATCTCGGAAACACGAGCCCAAGGTCTGGCTTCCTCCGTCACTGTAATTTGGGTGAAAACACATGGGTCCAACCACAGTTACCATTTTACTAAACAAGTAGAAAATTCATAACACGCAGGAGGAGATTTCTTTTTCCAAATTAGTTAACAAACATGAAGTGGTGTATGGATGGACCGTTTTGGAATGTAAAGAAAATCCAACGCTCTTGTTTTGAGAGAGAAAAAAAAATTAGACGCCTATTTGGAAAACTTGAAACAAGATGCTCATAAGGCACTATGGCAAGCTCTCAAGTGATTATGGACAAGAACCAAAGTAATTACCATAAAAGCCACTTTGTTATAGTGAAGCCAGTTCATTTGGGTCCTGAAGGAATTCTGCCACCTCAGCAGATCGGGCTCACAATTAACTGCCCCAAATTATCTCAAAGTCTCTCAGAAGTGACCAAGTGACCCTTCAGCAATAAGGAATCATTAAAAGGAAGACAGGATACCAACATAAACTTGACTAACCAAAAAAAAAGCAACAACTTTCATTTTATATAATGCCTTCAATATATTGCAAGGTGCTTCATGATTAAATTTTATAATTGGGCAAACAATTAACTCTTGCTATGAGCCTGACACAAGAAAAAAAAGCCTTTCACAACTAAGGTTTGACATCAAAAGCTTAAAAGCATGCTGTTACAAAATAAAGCGAGAATTAGTCCTTCTGACTCGTTAGAACAGGAGCCATTAACCAACTCATCCCTACTTAACCAGAGTCCAGAAACAGACCCTTCGGTCCAACTTGTCCGTGCCGACCAGGTTTCCCAACTAGTCCCATTTGGCTGCATTTAGCCCATATCCCTCTAAATCCTTCCTATTCACGTATCTGTTCAAATCTCTTCTAAATGTTGTAACAGTGCTTGCAAAGCAGCAGATCATGAAGAAAGGATAAAATGAGCAAAGTCTTCATCTACATACAAGCTTTGAAAATCACTTCTTTTCCCTATCCAAACAAGTGCCTACTTTCTAAATTCAATCAGCAGGGAGTTTACAAATAACATTTTGTCAGTCTCCGATATAGAACAAACTTGAGGCAACAAACGGTCATTCAGCCTCACGTGCAAAACACTGATTTGTTTTTTTTAAAAGCAACCTATAAGTTCACCTCACAAATGAAATGAAAACTTACTTCAAGTGATCATATGTAAGATGTCCATCATTTCCTACCACAAGGATTGCTGGATTGTTCAACTAAAAGAAACAACGCAAGAAAGGTTACGATGAGCTTGAAGGAGACCTTCATTCCAGGAGCAAATTACTGCAGATGCTGGAATCTGTACGGAAAACTAAAGAATGCTGGAAATCACAGTGGGTCAGGCAGCATCCGTGGAGAGAGAGCTCTGATGAAGAGTCGTCTAGACTCGAAATGTTAGCTAGACTTTCATTCTTTTGGATTTGCCAGGATTCAATAGGAGCTTGCACCAAAATTATTGCAGGATTCCAAAACGCTGTGAATTCACCAAACCTGAGAACCGATCAAATGGACTTTTTGTTGTCTCTGTATCTCATGTGAAAAATAGCCTTCCCGAGGCTGGTGAGCAGCTAAGGAAACACACCCCTCAACACAGACACCTTCATTTGTAGAGGCAGCAACACCATTGTGTGATCATATCATCAGAACACACCTGTAACAAATGGTGCTGAAAATCCTTCATTACTGAAACCACAGGGCTGTAACACGTTTGATAATATCATCAAGGTAACTTCATCTGTAATCAAAGTTGATAACCTTTCCTGTGGGCAAATTCAAATTTATAAGGGGCATTGCTTTTATGAATCTTGTACATTGCAGCTGCCCTATATACTTCATAACCCAATCTAAACAGGCACCATATTGGGCTCAAAATGTTAAATGTTTCTCTCCACAGATGCTAACAGACCCGCTCAGTTTCTCCCACACTTTTCTGTCTTTCTTCCTATTGTGCCTGTTTTGCCTTGCCTGGTCCGAGTTTCCTTGTGTTTCAAATTTGCCTGAATCGCCCTCTCTATACATAGATCCTTATTTCTCAATGTACTTAAAATCTTTACTGAAACGTAATTGATTTGTTTCACTCCCTTTCAATAGGAAAAGGCCATTCAGCCCATCATGCCTATACCAATTCTATCCCTTAATGCCAAACTCCCGCCTTTTCTCCATATCATTTCTATCCAAATAACCACCCATTGTCCTCTTGAATGTCTCAATCGAACCTGTTTCCACTACATTTCCAAGCAGTGCATTCCATATTCTAACTACTCGCTGGGTGAAAAAGCCTTTTTTGTCACAGTTTATATATCACTTTAAATCTATGCCCTCTTGTTCCCATCTCTTTTACAAGTGGGAACAATTTTTCCCTGGCTACTCTGTCCAGCCCACTCATGACTTTGAAAACCTCTTTCAGATCTCTGCTCAGCTTTTATCTCTTCACAGAGAAGAGATCCAAAACCCAGCATTGCAGCTGATTGAATTCAATGAATAACACAAATATAAACCTAGCCTGAGCTGCATGACGGGCATCAGGAAACAACCAGCAGTTGTTGTAAAAACCCATCTGATTCACTAACATCCTTCAGGGAAAGCAATCTACCAGCCTTACCTGGTCTGGCCTACACACTGTTCCAGATCCGTGGTGAAGTGGCTGAGTTTTAACTGCCCTCTGAAATGGCCTAGTAAGCCACTCAGTTCAAGGGCAATTAGGGATAGGAAACAAATGCTGGTCTAACCAGCAATGGCCACAAAAGAATGAAAAAAGAGCAGGGTGGATGCAACACTGAACTCTAATTTTGACTGGACAATCAAATACAGCTTGAATGTATACAGGGCTGCAAAGGTTGCAGACATTGTCCAAGATGATCTTATTGTAGCAGTCACTGATTTAAAGTAAAACATTAATCACAATTAACTTCAAAATTTCACGCACGCAATCTACTCAAGCAGGGCAACCTTTCTCCTTACCCTGCCGTCATTGTCATACGTGTCAAGGAAGATGCCAACTCCGTCCCAGTGATCAACTGCTCCATAAACTGGCCCTGTTGGCCCCCTTTCTCTGGTATACCATATAGCCTGTGATAACAGGAGAGGATATGAACATTTACTATGCGTGTAGGTGGATTCACATTAACACACTGATACATCGCAACTTGTGTTCGCCTTTGCTGGCAAAGCAGGTTCACACCATATTGCAGTATAGAACTTTGCGTGTTCAGGATTCTCACACAACAAGGGTGGGGACATAGCAAGGCAGGAGAATAGTCTGTGTGCTGGGCACAGAGGAGCAGGCAGAGGGGTTTAAGATGAGATTGCCTCTTCCACTAACGAAAATTCACACGGTGTGCACGAACAAACAAAAGCTAATGGCATTCACTAAAGGATGTGGCACCACTTCAATTTATATCCAAGGTGCAATAAAATGCACAAAGTTTACAAGGTTCTGAAGATTGGATTATGCACGGTGTTACACAAGGTAGTAACACAAACAGCTGTAGGTATTAAGGCAACATTTTCAAATGATAATACTTTGGGGTTATGTTTACTTATTAAATAGTAAAGTCGATTACTGTCAATGACATTTTAAAAAACACAATGAACTTTGTTTTTGTAAAAAGGAGGGACATTAGGAAAACTGACTTGTGCACGTGCTCCTCAGCATCATGTGTAGAATGAAAACTTCAGCTCATTGGATTTATTGAGAGTTGAAGTATATTCACCTACACAACTGTATACTTCTTAAAGCTATGTGAAGCAATCTGAGATCTAACTCAGCACCATATAAATTCATTGCAGACAGGAACTTTGAACAACTTAAACTGAAATATGAAGTAACAGATTAAACAGGTGACACCCCAAGAAGCAGATGAAACATAAACGATAGACAAAACGTGGTTATAGAGATGGCATGAGGTCCCTGAAGCGAGAAATTCAATGCACGTTCCTTACTCATAGCTCTCTGTGATGGATTTCAAGATTTCATCACCATCTCGAAACCTTTACAGCTCATCTTCCAGATCAACATGCAACATTTGATCTGAAGTAGGAGGAGTGCTCAATATCAACTCATTCATGAACATGTGTGCGCACAGGAAGTAAGTTTCCTTAAACTGCTTCTCAACCTGGTTCTTGTGACGTTAGCAAAGAGTAAAATAAATGGTTTTTCCTTTTGTATAATACACCTTCCATGGTCAAGTGCCTGAGCCATTTTAAGAAAGCTTTGATCCTTGATACAATGTAAACAGAGTCATTGGGGAGGTGGTCTTGGAAAACCAATTATTCAGAGCCCGTGAGACAAGCTGTAGACATCATGGGCAGCACAGTGGCTCAGTGGTTAGCATTGCTGCCTCACAGCGCCAGGGACCCGGGTTCGATTCCACCCTCAGGCAACTGTCTGTGTGGAGTTTGCACATGTGCCCAGTGTCTTCGAGGGTTTCCTCCCACAGTCCAAAGATGTGCAAACTAGATGGATGATGGGCCATGCTAAATTGCGCATAGTGTTCAGGGGATGTGTAGATTAGGTGGGTTACAGGGGGATGGATTTGGGTGGGATGCTCTGAGGGTCGGTGTGGACTTGTTGGGCCGAAGGGCCTGTTCCCACACTGTAGGGATTCTACGATATCTATGAATCAAATCTTCTGGTAAGATGGTGGCAGAGTAGGACGCTCAATACGGAGCCCCTCTGCTCTGCCCATTTGTATTTTTTTTGCCTTTTCTCCCTCTCTGCTCCCTTCTCACAGCCTTGGCGACATAGTCCCAGCCTCCGGAGCAGGGTTACTGGTGACCAACAGCCTGGTGTGGAATGTGGGGGCAGCCAGTGCTCAGAACACGAGTAGGCCCCCTGCACAAAGCCCTTGGAGAGAGACCGTGATGCTTGTCTTTTTAAACATTACACGGTGTATCGCTGTATTCTAACTGTGTTTTTCTTCATTTCTCTATTCTGTAACTGCGTACCTTTGTATCTACAATGGTGCCGTACAATTTTCACTGTACTTATTGGAGTACGTGAGACAATAAAGCTAATTCAATTCAATTCAAAATTGGGACAATCTTTTGAGCAATTTTTTAAGTCTAGTCATGAACTCTCATTGCACCAAGTGTTGGTTATCTTATTGAAATCAGGGAAACTCTTACAAAGATGAAGTTTGCTAATTAAGGAAAACCGCACCAATCCATCTGCTCCAATTCTGCTTCTGCCACTTATCCTAAACGAAACTTCTATCTCCCAATTTTCAAACACTGCATTAGTCTTCGTCCAAACTGATCCACTTTGGCTTTTCATCGAAGGAACAACTCGAACTCGTTCAGAACTGGGAAGGGCATCTGCGCAGGAACAAAAAACAAATCTGTCAATATTTTTTACCTTAAAACTAAAACTTTATACAAAGAAGGGTGACTGTAGACATTTGCCTAGCCAGTTAAAAATTTAATAGATTAGAATGCAACTTGATGCAACAAACAGAGATAGAGGCATGGGTGTAGTATCACAGTACCAATTACTCAGAGGCCAGGCTAACGATCTTCGACAAGTGGCCAAATCCCACCATGACCAGCTGATTAGAATTTAAATTCTATTCATCAATAACGGTAATAAATAAATCTGAATTGAGAATTGTGACTATATTGGGTTGTCATAAAAATCCATCTTGATCACCAATGTCTTTCAGGGTAGGAAATTTGCCATTCTTGCCTACATCCTTTCAGTTGTTTCAGCGGCGGGAGTCTGGGAGGAAGCGCGAGGGCAGCCTGGGAAGGTAAGCTTTTCGATTATAAAAGTCTTACCTCGTGTGACGCCATTTTTGGAGTGAGTAAATGAGGTAATATATTTGGGTGGTTGCTTTATCCGAAACACTACCTAGGTAGTGTCTCCCACCCATCCTCCTCCTCTAACCAAAAAAAGAGGTTCTGAGCGCTGATTTGGCAAGGTTACTAATTTTTTTTTTTAATAGTCTGTTTGGGAATTCAGAACAGTGGGAGTGGATGTTAGGGCAGTTGTATGCTCCTCCTGTAGAATGTGGGAGGTAAGGGTCACCACTAGTGTCCCCACTGACTTCATCTGCGGGAAGTGCACCCAACTCCAGCTCCTCGCAAACCGCGTTAGGGAACTGGAGCTGGAGCTGGAGCTGGAGCTGGATGAACTTCGGATCATTCGGGAGGCTGAGGGGGTAATTGAAAGGAGTTACAGGGAGGTAGTCACACCTCAGGTACAGGAAAAAAGTAGATGGGTTACAGTCAGGGGATGGAAAGGGAACAGGCAGACAGTGCAGGGATCCCCTGTGGCCGTTCCCCTCAAAAATAAGTATACCGTTTTGGATCCTGTGGGGGGGACGACCATGGGGTACAGGTCTCTGGTACAGAGTCTGTCCCCGTTGGTCAGAAGGGAAGGGGGGAGAGGAGGAGAGCATTAGTCATTGGGGACTCCATAGTGAGGGGGACAGATAGGAGATTCTGTGGGAATGAGAGAGACTTGCGGTTGGTGTGTTGCCTCCCAGGTGCCAGGGTCCGTGATGCCTCGGATCGTGTTTTCAGGATCCTTAAAGGGGGAGGGGGAGCAGCCCCAAGTCGTGGTCCACATAGGCACCAACGACATAGGTAGGAAAAGGGATGGGGATGTAAGGCAGAAATTCAAGGAGCTAGGGTGGAAGCTTAGAGCGAGAACAAACAGTTGTTATCTCTGGTTTGTTACCCGTGCCATGTGCTAGCGAGGCGAGGAATAGGGAGAGAGAGCAGTTGAACACGTGGCTACAGGGATGGTGCAGGAGGGAGGGATTCAGATACCTGGATAATTGGGGCTCATTCTGGGGGAGGTGGGACCTCTACAAACGGGACGGTCTACACCTGAACCAGAGGGGAACCAATATCCTGGGGGGGAAATTTGCTAATGCTCTTCGGGAGGGTTTAAACTAATTCAGCAGGGGGATGGGAACCTGAATTGTAGCTCCAGTGTACAGGAGGTTGAGAGTAGTGAGGTCATGAATAAGGTTTCAAAGTCGCAGGAGTGTACCGGCAGGCAGGAAGGTGGTTTGAAGTGTGTCTACTTCAATGCCAGGAGCATCCAGAATAAGGTGGGTGAACTTGCAGCATGGGTTGGTACCTGGGACTTCCATGTTGTGGCCATTTCAGAGACGTGGATAGAGCAGGGACAGGAATGGTTGTTGCAGGTTCCGGGGTTTAGATGTTTCAGTAAGATCAGGGAAGGTGGTAAAAGAGGGGGAGGTGTGGCATTGTTAGTCAAGGACAGTATTACGGTGGCAGAAAGGACATTTGATGAGGACTCGTCTACTGAGGTAGTATGGGCTGAGGTTAGAAACAGGAAAGGAGAGGTCACCCTGTTGGGAGTTTTCTATAGGCCTCCGAAAAGTTCCAGAGATGTAGAGGAAAGGATTGCAAAGATGATTCTGGATAGGAGCGAAAGTAACAGGGTAGTTGTTATGGGGGACTTTAACTTTCCAAGTATTGACTGGAAACGCTTTAGTTCGAGTACTTTAGATGGGTCAGTTTTTGTCCAATGTGTGCAGGAGGGTTTCCTGACACAGGATGTAGATAGGCCAACAAGAGGCGAGGCCACATTGGATTTGGTACTGGGTAATGACCCAGGCCAGGTGTTAGATTTGGAAGTAGGTGAGCACTTCAGTGATAGTGACCACAATTCGGTTACGTTTACTTTAGCGATGGAAAAGGATAGGTATATACCGCAGGGCAAGAGTTATAGCTGGGTGAAAGGCAATTATGAGGCGATGAGGCAAGATTTGGGATGCATAGGATGGAGAAGGAAACTGCAGGGGCTGGGCACAATTGAAAAGTGGAGCTTGTTCAAGGAACAGCTACTGCGTGTCCTTGAGAAGTACGTACCTGTCAGGCAGGGACGAAGTGGTCAAGCGAGGGAACCGTGGTTTACTAAAGAAGTTGAATCTCTTGTCCAGAGGAAGAAGGAGGCTTATGTAGAGATGAGGCGTGAAGGTTCAGTTAGGGCGCTTGAGAGTTACAAGTTAGCCAGGAAGGACCTAAAGAGAGAGCCAAGAAGAGCCAGAAGGGGACATGAGAAGTCTTTAGCAGGTAGGATCAAGGAAAACCCTAAAGCTTTCTATAGGTATGTCAGGAATAAAAGAAAGAATGACTAGAGTAAGATTAGGGCCAGTCAAGGACAGTAGTGGGAAGTTGTGTGTGGAGTCCGAAGAGATAGGAGAGGTGCTAAATGAATATTTTTCGTCAGTATTCACACAGGAAAAAGACAATGTTGTCGAGGAGAATACTGAGATACAGTCTATTAGACTAGACGGGATTGAGGTTCATAAGGAGGAGGTGTTAGCAATTCGGGAAGGTGTGAAAATAGATAAGTCCCCTGGGCCGGATGGGATTTATCCTAGGATTCTCTGGGAAGCTAGAGAGGAGATTGCAGAGCCTTTGGCTTTGATCTTTATGTCGTCATTGTCTTCAGGAATAGTGCCAGAAGACTGGAGACTAGCAAATGTCGTCCCCTTGTTCAAGAAGGGGAGTAGAGACAACCCTGGTAATTATAGACCAGTGAGCCTTACTTCGGTTGTGGGTAAAGTGTTGGAAAGGATTATAAAAGAGATAGGATTTATAATCATCTAGAAAGGAATAATTCGATTAGGGATCGTTAACACGGTTTTGTGAAGGGTAGGTCATGCCTCACAAACCTTATTGAGTTCTTTGAGAAGGTGACCAAACAGGTGGATGAGGGTAAAGCGGTTGATGTGGTGTATATGGATTTCAGTAAAGCGTTTGATAAGGTTCCCCATGGTAGGCTATTGCAGAAAATACGGAGGCATGGGATTGAGGGTGATTTAGCGGTTTGGATCAGAAATTGGCTAGCTGTAAGAAGACAGAGGGTGGTGGTTGATGGGAAATGTTCATCCTGGAGTTCAGTTACTAGTGGTGTACCTCAAGGATCTGTTTTGGGGCCACTGCTGTTTGTCATTTTTATAAATGACCTGGATGAGGGCGTAGAAGGATGGGTTAGTAAATTTGCGGATGACACCAAAGTCGGTGGAGTTGTGGATAGTGCAGAAGGATGTTGCAGGTTACAGAGGGACGTAGATAAGCTGCAGAGCTGGGCTGAGAGGTGGCAAATGGAGTTTAATGCGGAAAAGTGTGAGGTGATTCACTTTGGAAGGAATAACAGGAATACAGAGTACTGGGCTAATGGTAAGATTCTTGGTAGTGTGGATGAGCAGAGAGATCTCGGTGTCCATGTGCATAGATCACCGAAAGTTGCCACCCAGGTTGATAGCGTTGTTAAGAAGGCGTACGGTGTGTTAGGTTTTATTGGTAGAGGGATTGAGTTTCGGAGCCATGAGGTCATGTTGCAGCTGTACAAAACTCTGGTGCGGCCGCACTTGGAGTATTGCGTACAGTTCTGGTCACCGCATTATGGGAAGGATGTGGAAGCATTGGAAAGGGCGCGGAGGAGATTTACCAGGATGTTGCCTGATATGGAGGGAAGATCTTATGAGGAAAGGCTGAGGGACTTGAGGCTGTTTTCGTTAGAGAGAAGAAGGTTAAGAGGTGACTTAATCGAGACATACAAGATGATCAGAGGATTAGATCGGGTGAACAGTGGGAGCCTTTTTCCTCGGATGGTGATGGCTAGCACGAGGGGACATAGCTTTAAATTGAGGGGTGATAGATATAGTACAGATGTCAGAGGTAGGTTCTTTACTCAGAGAATAGTAACGGCGTGGAATGCCCTGCCTGCAAAAGTAGTAGACTCGCCAACTTTAAGGGCATTTAAATGGTCATTGGATAAACATATGGATGATAATGGAATAGTTTAGGTTAGATGGGCTTCAGATTGGTTTCACAGGTCGGCGCAACATCGAGGGCTGAAGGGCCTGTACTGCGCTGTAATGTTCTATATGATTTCAGACCCACGGCAATGTGGTCGACTCTTAACTGCCCTCTGAAATAGTCCAAAGAGCAATTGAGTCATTCCAAACTGATATAGGAAAGTCAAGCAATATGGGCTGCATCAGTTCAAGGAATCAACTCACTATTATCTTTTCATTAAATGCTGGCTTGCCTTTGAAATATATATGCTATTGAAGAACGAAAACATAGTTTAGTCCCCAATAAGGTCTTTTATTGGTATCTTGAACTAAGATGGCACATCAATATCACCATGACAACACAATGGATCAGTCTGCTTTTAAGTGGCCTGAGGATCTTGAGGTTATAACCTTATCACATACCCCAGACTCAGTCTGTAACCAGACTACATTTCACAATACACGAGATTTCATTGCGATGATGAAGCGTGTATTTTGGCAAAATAAAAACCTTCCACTCACTGTCTAGTAGCTCTTTAAAAGAGAAATTCCAGGTCACCAGTTGTGGAACCTGTAATTTGGCTTGTCCATCACCACGACAGATGGAAAGATGCAAACGGTGAAATTAATTTGGTTCTGGCTGGTTGAAATATAGACCTTGAGCATGTCACTCAGACACGCGCGCGCAATGCAACATATTACAAATAAGAGATGCCAGAGAAATGAAAGCAGAGGTCCAGTGCACAATGGGTCAAATGGCCTCCATTTATAACTGACTAATTCTGTGACTCCACATACAGCAACCTGTCTTGCTGCGGAGAACAATAATGATGCAAAAGAGCTACTGCCAGGTAGTTTTCTTACATCTCTTTCTTAGGCAACATCAGTACCGTTGCATGACTGATATGATACCAGAAGAACACTGTTAATATACTTTCAAAGCGTTTTAGAAAAATATTTGTTTGCCAGTAGAGAACAATCATGACACACAAATGGCACAAAAGTACTTGTATAAAAGTTTACTTCAATAGAAACAATGAAGAAACTGGACATCTATTTACTCAGCACCTCTCATATTTCAACATGCTTTACACACAATGACGTACTTTTGAACCACGATCACTGTGATACAGAAAACCCAGCAGCCGATGCTGACACAGCAAGGCCTCAAACAGCTCTGGTAGCAGTGACAACCTAGGTTAAGATACCAGATGAAGGATAAATGTTGGTCAGGATACCAGGAGAACCGATAACTCCACCAAATGAATGGGCAGGGAGCAGAAGGATACAGATCCTTGGAAAATAGGTGACAGGTTTAGATAGAGGATCTGGATCGGCGCAGGCTTAGAGGGTCAAAGGGCCTGTTCCTGTGCTGTAATTTTCTTTGTTCAAACCTGCCCCTCTTTCCCCTGCTCTTCTTCAAAATAATGCTACAGTATGTTTTATGCCCACCCCAGAGAAAAGTCAGGTCCTTTGCCTAACAAAAAGGCAAAAACTGATACAAAAACAAGGATGGTTTTTTACAAACTGCAATAAAAATGCCACCGCTAATACATAGGTGGAATGTTTTCCTAAAAGAAAACGTTCAGGACTCAAGGTTGACAGACAATCTTTCAAACTTCCCTAATGAGTGTAAACATTTTAAAATATAGCAAATAAGTGAGTTAATGAGTTGGAAAGGGTCCTCAGGGCAGTGCCATCAGCCCAATCATTATCAGCTGCTGCATCAATGACCTTCCTTCCATCAGAAGGTCACAAGTGAGAATGTTCATTGACAACTGCACAACATTCAGTAGCATTCGTGACTCTTCAGATACTGAAAGCAGTCCATGTCTGTCTACAGCAAGATATGGAAGTATTCAGGCTTGAGCTGCAAAATGGTAAATTGCAGCACACAAGTGGCAGGCAATGATGATTTGCAAGACGACAGAATCTAACCATCCCTCTTGACCATCATTGTCACTGTTGAATCCCTTATTATTTTGGGGAGTTGCTATTGACCAAAAGCTGGACCAGCCATATAAATGCTGTGCCTACGTGAGCAGGAATCCTGCAACAGGTACCTTATCTCCTGACTCCCCAAAGCCTACCCACCACCTACAAGGCACAAGTCAGGAGTTGATGGAATACTTCCCACTTGCCTGATGGGCATAGCTCCAACAGCACTTAAGAAACTCAACACCATCAAGGGCAAAGCAGACCGCGAGATTGACACACCATCCACCAAATTAAACATCCAATCCCTCTCCCACCATACAGTTCTTCCACAAGAGACAATGCAGCACCTCACCGAGGGTCCTCTGACTTGCCCTTCCAAAATTACGGCCTTGACCACCTGGAAGTTCAAGGGCACGGGGTCAGTTAGCTCAGTTGGCTGAATGGCTGGCTGAAATGCAGAGTGACACCAAAAGCACGATTTCAATTCCTCCACTAGCTGAGGTTTCCATGAAGCACTCTCCTCCTCAACTTCTCCCACTGTCTGAGGCACGGTGACCTTCAGGTCAAACAACCACCAGTCGTCTGTCTCGTAAGAACTTAAGAAATAGGAGCAGGAGTTGGCCATCTGGCCCCTTGAGCCTGCTCCGCCATTCAATAAGATCATGGCTGATCTTTTCATAGACTCAGCTGCACTTAGCCATTCACTCATCATAACCTTAATTCTCTTACTGTTCAAAAATCTATCTTTGCCTTAATCACATTCAACGAGGTAGCTTCAACTACTTCACTGAGCAGGAATTCCACAGATTTACAACCCTTTGGGTGAAGAAGTTCCTCCTCAACTCATTCCTAAATATGCTCCCCCTTATTTTGAGGCTTATGCCCCCTAGTTCTATTCTCTCCGATGAAACAGCAGCCCCATGGTCTGGTAAGATTTACCTTTCACCTTACAAGGGCAGGAAATGCAGGGAACACCACCACCTGCAAAATTCCCCTCCAAGCAACAGACCATCCTGAGCTGGAAACGTATTGCCATTCCTTCAGTGTTGCTGGGTCAAAATCCTGGAACTCTCTAACAGTACTGTGGACGTCCATCTCCACAGGGACTGCAGTAGTTCAAGAAGGCAGCTCACCACCACCTTCTCAAGGGGCAAGTAGGGACGGGCAAGAAATGCTGGGAGCCAGTGACGCCCACATCCTGGGAATAAACGTTTAAAAAAAAAAAATCGCTAAACTGAGCGGCTGAATACCATCAGATTTCTGTACCTACATTTTGAGATTCATTAATATTTATCTTAATACACAACATTTTAACGTCACATTCATATCCTGGGGTGTATTTTTATTCAGTATGGTAAGGGCAATTTTCCAAAAGGTAGAAGCACAACACTACAAAAAGGCTGAATGAAAATTATTGCACAGAAGCAATGTGTAGCTCTGATAGCCTGCACAGAGGTGTGCAGTGTACGTTATAGAGGCATACTATACTTGAAACTAACGTTAAAAAGGAAGATTTCAGATGAGGAAGACCCCTGGCCCAACGGATCACTGCAGAAAACTCGCTGCGAGTGAACAGAAAATTGAAAACAAGCAACTACCCACTGGATCTCCGACCTGTTTTACTAACTTTAAGCTGAAGAATTCAACAAACCTACTTCTTAGCACTGCAAAACATTGCACACACTAGCACAACTCGCTGCGGGGACGCATTTGAGAAGTAGTTTGTAAACGAGCGAGAGACGCTCGTAAAATTTGGAATTTGCCCTTCCCCGGGGAAACTTACTGCCGTAATGTGTCCAACAAGGAATGGCACCGTCTTGCAGGACCAGGTGCGGTCCTTTGAAGCTGTGCTTGTACTCGAAGCGGCGGTGGGCGCTCACTGCCTCCTGGCTGAGGGTGGGAGCAGGGAGCCAGGCGAACAGAGACACCAGCAGTAACACACACACAACCATCGCTTGTCCGGCGCTGCGCCTCCACCGCCACAGCTCCCCCGCATGAAAGAGCCACTAGGCAGCAAGCCATTGGCTGCCGCTATCTGGCTCAAGAGCCAACAGGGTCCCAAGCTAGTGTATTGCTTAGGGCCCCTTGCACTAACATTGGCTACAGCCAGCTGTACCAAAATAGACCATACCTAGGACCTCTTGCACTATTCTGCAAAAAGTTCAAATTTGCAGCTATTTTTAAAACAACTTCCAACCCCCCCCCCCCCTCACACCAGTACACACACACCTTTTCTAAACAAAACCCTTTGAAGTAACCTGGTAAATTGCACTGGGGATATTAAAATACTTGTATGGTTGAAGATTATAAATTTGTTTAGGTCTTTCATAACGAAAAAAAAGAGTTCTTTCCCTCGTGCTCTAATTTGCATTTATTCAAAAAACGAGCAGGTCCAGGGCCTAAAAAGGTCTTTCAGATAGGAAATGAAACCAAAAAAATGCTGGAAGCATTCAACCACTTACTTGGCATCTGGAGGGTGAACAGTGGACTGACGCCTATTTAGGGCTGGAACTGGTAGATAGCCTTTCGGTGCAAATAAAAAGGTTTATTTATTCAAATAACAGAATGAACCGTAATGTGGTTTAAATGAAATTTGGTTTGTGATGATACTATGGCTTTAAGAGATGTATTTTGTCCTTTTTGTTTCAAATGAAGAAAGGTTGAGACAGGAGGTACCAATAGAGTAAACAGTTTTGAGGTCCTTCAAAGCTGGAACAATAGAAGCAGCCTGAATGGGTGGGGTCAAGCTCCCACAGAACCAGGATTTCAGTCACAGCAGCTGTGACTTTGAAGCTGGGCTTGGAGGCTGCAGTACGTCTTTCCCTGCTACTGTCTCTTAGAATTTTCTCGATGTTTTTCCTCCTGGACTGGAAAATTGCTTGAGAGACAATCTATTTTACTGAATTTGCCTTTGCCAAGGATGTGTTTAGGGGATACTGGAACAGCTACTATTCAGTCACAAAATAATCTATTATTTTGTAAAGTTTTCCAGTAGAGTTAATTTATTCCAATTTCTTCCTTCTTTTATTGTACCTTAACTATAGTTTATGAATAAAGTGTTTTGCACTTCAAGACTGGTAGTTTGACCAACTGAATTGCATCCAGAATGCAACACCTAGCACTTGCCTTTAAAATAAGATGTTAGGGTCTAGGCTCTCAATATATTTTGAGTGTTTTTGGTCTGGTCCATAACAGGTCACACTATCAAAATATGGAAAAGTACTGTATAGCAGTCAATAAGCACTTTTTTCATCCACTGAGAAATATTAGGAAAAACAGCCAAAGGTTTAAGTTAGAGAAATAGCTGGATTTTAAAAGCAGTCTTTAAAAAAAGGAGGAAAAGGCAGAGGTTTAAAGGTTCTGAAGGGTCACTGGACTCTAAACATTAATTCTGCTTTTTCTCTCCAAAGATGATGCCAGGCCTGCCGAGTCCATCCAGCAATTTCTGCTTTTGTTTCAGATTTCCAACAGCCACAGTTCTTTAAAGCTGACTGAGTTAGATTTAGCAGCTATAGACAGGGTCCCATAATGAAGTGTCCTTACCATCCAAGCGGTTTTCAAACCAAAGTTATCTCAGGGTAGAATATATCTACAATATGTTGTAGCATAAACATCATTTTTAAGCTTATCAATATCAGCATTGAGAATTCTAACATTAGTATTTTAGGATATTGCTGTGTAGTTACACTAGTAACGGGGAGGTGATAGCATAGTGGTATTATCGTTGGACTGATAATCCAGAGACCCAGATAATGCTCTGGGGACCCCCCGGGTTCAAATCCCACCACGGCAGATGGTGGAATTTGAATTCAATAAATATCTGGAATTAAGAATCTAATGATGACCGTGAATACGTTGCCAATTGTAGGAAAACCCATCTGGTTCACTAATGTCCTTTAGGGAAGGAATGTGCCAACCTTATCTGGTCTGGCCTACATGTGATTCCAGACCCACAACAATGAGGTTGACTCCTAACTGCCCTCTGGGCAATTAGGGATGGGCAATAAATGCTGCCTAGCCAGCGATGCCCTCATCCCGTGAATGAATAAAGAAAAAAAAAGTTATGAACTGTAGGTGAGGATTTAAGTGGAGGACAACAAATATTTTATACTTGATTAACAATATTGCAAGAATCAATTCTGAATTATGTTATAGCAATGAGTTCAGACATCAACGTGGAAGCATGTGATGGTGAAGATGTAGGGCGAATGCAAACAGGGAACATTGGCAAAGCGGAACAGAATGCAGCAGGCAGAGAAAATACGTCCAAGCCCACACATCTGTGACATATTGCATCAAGCCTGAATGCTCACTATGTAGCAGCCTCATGGATTGCCCACATTCATCATTCAGCACTTTTTCAACATGTGCAATCCTACAGCACAAATTAATCCACTCTGACCTTGCTCAAGATCCATGGCAGGAAATGCTTTTGTTCTTTTAGATGCAACAGGATAAGCAAAGAACAACTTTTATTCATGAATTTCAGTGCTCAGCACAACAATGTTTCCAACAGAAAGATTTTAATACATTAATTAGTCCATCTCCCCCAGCACTGCATGCGAGTCATTAACTAGTTCATCTCCTGCAGCATGTAGACAAGCAAGTCTTACAGCAATGCAAGACTTTGAACACTAGTTGGATTAACCAGAGTAGATAGCAAATTAACTTGCATTTACCTAGCATGATTACTATTGTAACCAAAGCACTTTATAGGATCAATAACCACCTTTTTCAGCCACAGAGAGATATTCGGATGAATAGCCAAAGATTTGGTTGGAGAAAGAGCTGGATTTTAAAGGTAGTCTTTAAAAAAGGAACAAAAGGCAGAGGTAACAAGGTGTAGAGCTGGATGAACACAGCAGGCCAAGCAGCATCAGAGGAGCAGGAAGGCTGACGTTTCG